GGGTTGCCGTAGACGTCGTTGCCGGAGCCCACCTCCTTCTCGCTCACCACCTTGGCCCTGATCACTGCAAAGCACAGGACGCAGAGGTGAGCGGAACCCCGCACACGCCCACGGGAAGGGGCAGCAGGGAGGCAACGAAGCCAGGACCCTGCCGCACCCCGTAACCCGACAACCCGGGGATCAGGGCTCCCGCAGCCACTGGGCAGAGCTCTCCTTCTTTTCGTTTCCAGGAGAATCAGCTGGTGCCACCCACCGTCCTAATGGCTTTCAAAGCTTTGCCTGCGGCATGCGGCCGTGCAGGTCACTCGGGGTCAGTGTCGCGTTCAGGCAGATGGGAGGGAAAGAAGGACACGGAGCAGAGCACGGGGCTCCACGGAGCGTCCCGCCCCCGCCCCCGCCGGACTCAGACCTCAGGACCTGCTGGCCAGGCCAGCTTTTCCCAGAGCAGGGCGGCCAGGACCCCCGAGTGCTCTCTACATCTCAGCCTGGTGCCGGCGCCCCGCCCAGGCCCAAACCCCATTCTTATTTCTTCTGTGGGAGCTGAGCCATGATGGGCCCAGCCCAGGCCAGGACCCAGCCTGCACAGCCACAGCTAGGACACGCTGCCCGGGCCACCAGGACACAGCCCGCACGGCCACAGCTGACACACCGCCCGGGCCAACAGCACCGAGGGCTGTTCCTGGATAGCAGGCCCTCGACCCAGCGGCTCCTCCCACCCCAGCACCCGGTGTCTTTTCAGTCACGTCCCTTCCAGCTCACGCATCCACCTCGGCTGCCTGCTGCCCGCTGCCCACTGCCCACATCTAAAACAGGAAATGCTTTACAATCCGGTGCCAGCGGCTACTTGCGCTGCCTCAGTGGGGCTGGGACGGATCCATTTCCAAAGCTTTGCATGTGCTCTGCCCACCCCAAGTGCTGACCCCAGAGGTCGAACCCTGGCACCTTCAGGACAGGGGTGCCCGCCCTCCGTGCTTCGGGGACGGTTTCCCTAGAACTCGCCGCCTCTGCTGCTCCCTTTACTTATTTTTATTGATTTCAGAGAAGCGGGGAGAGGGGGAGGGAGAGAGAAACATTAATGAGGAGTCCAGCCATGAGGCTCCGGGGTTGAGCGTCAACCTATGAACCAGGAGGTCACGATTCAATTCCCGGTCAGGGCACAGGCCTGGGTTGCGGGCTCCATCCCGTGTGGGGCGTGCAGGAGGCAGCCGGTCAACGATTCTCTCATCATTGATATTTCTATCTCCCTCTTCCTTCTTTTCTGAAATCAATAAAAACATATTTAAAAAAAAATTAAACCCCAGGCCTGGACTCGTGCTTATTGAACACCTACTATGTGCTGGGCCTGGCACTGGCCCCGCAGGGGGCTGCTCTGCCCCCCTAGCCCCCCAGCTACAGGAACCAGAGGGAGCAGGAGGAGAGAGAGTCTTTGTCAAGACTCGTGTGCTGCTTTGCTCCCCAAAAGGTGGCCTCTCCCCAGGCTGCTCAGATTTTGCCTGTTCTTTCTTCTTTCCCGTCTGCCGTCCACCCAGCATCTGGGCTTGGGATCCCGGGTGACACACGGGCTGATGAATTCACCGCCAGATGTCGGCTACTGGAATGCACAGCCGTCCACTTAATTCAAAGCACACGCAACCACAGAGCCCCGCCCCCACCCGGGGCCGCGGACACCGCATGATGTCACTTCCTCCTGCGAGGAGCCTGCAAAACAACCCCCGCGGCCGCCAGCCTCCGGGTGGAAAAGAACAGGGTGGGCGGAAAGGGAGGCTCCCGCCGGCGATCCAGGGAGCACGGGCTCCGTTTGGACCGCGAGCGACCGCAACCACCCAGGGAAAGACCCACGCAGGCCAGGCTGTCCCGCTGCCACCCGAGGGGCAGGGGACAGCGAGGGGGCTGGCGGTAAACCTCGGGGTCCCCAGGCCCCGATTCATGTCCCCTCCCGCCCCCCAACACCTCTGCGCCCTGCTGCGTCCCGAACAGGCCGGGTGCACTCTCTCTGGGCGGCCCGGACCGAGACCTGCCTCTGAGAAGTTCACTGAGGTCACGCGTGTCGACTGAGCTCTGTTATCTTGCCAGGGGCCCAGCCGCTCTCGGAGGATCCGTGCGCCTCCGTGTGCGTCTGTCCTGTAGGGCCTCGCGGACGGGGCTGCTCTGCCGGCCCGGCTCCCAACCCCGAGGACAGGGAGGCCTCCGGGCATTCACACGTGACTCGCAGTGGCCATGGCCTGGGCCCAGGCCCTCAGCGCCCCGAATCCCAGACCCCCGAGCCCGGAGGCAGAGCCCTGGCCGAGGGAAGTCACGGGTCTGCCCAGACACAGGGCGAGAACCCCAGGATTCGGAAAAACATCCGTCCCCTGCGAGCTCAGAACCCGGGCCCTGACTCGGACGGGCAGGGGTGGCTCAGGGCCCCGCCCACCCCAGGCCTCCAGAGGGACAGGGTGCCCTTGGGTTTTGCTCTCAGCCTCTGGGAAATGCCCAGCGGTCCCCCCATGAGGGGCCCTCGCTCCCAGTGCCACTCGCTGTGGGAGGGGGGCCTGGGGGACTGGCCAGCACATTTGCCAAAGACCCTACTGGCCGCAGTCGAGAGAGGGAGGGTGGGAGGACGGGCCGTCCTGCTGCGGCGACCGGAGTGACCGCTGGCCAGTGCGCTGGGGCCTCGGTGTGTGTGAGAGTGGGAGCCGCTGTGTGGAAGACGGCACATTTCCTGGGGGCAGACGGTGTAACGCCCTGTCCCCGTCCGTCACTTGGTCCATTTCTGAGCTTCCGGGTAGAATTACATGCCAATCACTTCAGAGGCATTTAGAAACGATTTTCTCCCAGACGCTCGAACCCAGCCCCCATGCCCTCCAGGCTGGACGGAGGGTCCGGGCTCCCCAGGGGGGCCCCGCTCTGCTGGGGTCCTGGGGGGGCGGGAGGGTTCCATGCTTCTGCCTACGCTCCCCAGAGAAGGGCGCCGAGTTTAGACATCACCTGCCAAACACAGCGCACCGTCCTCCCAGATGCCTGCAGCCAGCTCCCATGCTGCCCCCTGGGAGGAGGGTCCGTGCCCCTCGATGACAGAGGACCCCTAACTGCTGGCCTGTAACTCGTCCCCTCTGGGGGCACTGGGGGCCTTGGGGGCCCAGCAGAGACAGTCGGGCACCTTCCCAGGGGGCCTGCATCTGCTTCGCGAGCAGGTGGGCTGCCCTCAGGCCGGAGGGCAGGGGACCTGGAAAGGGGACCGTGCAGGCAGAGTGCAGACCCACTTGGGCATCCGGCTGAGGCCACGCCCCTGGACGGCATGAGGACGGGGTGCGGCTGAGCAGCCCGGAGATGTCACAAGGAATGCATGACATCAGTGCTGGCTCGGTGCCCAGAGTCCGAGGCAGGGTCCGGCCCCACCGGCCCCACCTGCCCCTGCAGCCCCACTTCCCAC